TGCCTCCGCGAAAATCGGGGAAGTTGATTTTAAGCAAACAACCAAGAATTGATCGTTCAATCTTCAACTCCATTGACATTCATATTGTACATACTGAATTGATGTCATCTGTCATCTATCTGCTGGTAATTCTGTTTGTGTCCGGTCGACTTCCACTTGGATCATCAACCTGAGAAGAGTTGTAGGCGTACTGCTCTAGGTCCTACAGTTCTTCAAGAGTATTCTATTACTACAATCCTGTATGTTCAAATTTTCTAGAACAACATATTATAACTTACCTCTACTTATCTGCTCAATGCTGCACGATTATTCCCTGATTTTCTAAACTACATTTGTTTATATCTAAAATTAATCTTATCTTACTATTCTATTACTATAATCCTGTATGTTCAAATTTTCTAGAACAACATATTATAACTTACCACTACTTATCTGCTCAATGCTGCACGATTATTCCCTGATTTTCTAAACTACATTTGTTTATATCTAAAATGAAGTCTCAGATAGCCTTTCTTCCTTACATTTTTCGTCTCCAAAATGCTGTAAAAGATGAAACATACATGATGTTCTTCTGAAAGTAGTCATTCATACCATAAATTTGAGTAAGTCGACGAATGAATATTTGGAAAACAAAATGTTTGTGGCATATTGCAACAGAAATTTAAAAAAATAAATATATAATTTTAAAAAAATGAAGCATTCCGACAGGGCCTTGCACAAAAAAGGTGGGAGGATGGTGACTGCTAGTCAGCGGATATGATGGTGGGGACATATGTGAACCACCCTTATCTGTGGGACAGCACTCTATTGCTAAGGCTCCTGAGTTCGGATGGCTTCTTCAAAATGAGAATAAACAAAAACTAAAATAAAAAAAATAATGAAAAAAGAAATATTAGTTGAAAATTGCCTAGAGCCGAAGTTTAAATGCAAACTCCCGAATGAAAGTAAATGGTATGAGTCCGCTACTTCAGAAGGACACCTAACTGTATACTTCAGAAAAACATATATTACTAGGCCCTCGCTTTTCTTTTACATAGCTCACGCACTCTGACTTTTGTGTTTAATTCCTTTTAAATCTCGTAAGTAGGTGAAATTATCACCTGTCTTTCACTTTAAACTAATTGTTCGCAGAAAAGACTAAAATATCGGGAAAATAATATTTCTTGATAAAAACACGACAAAAATGATGAACCCCATGCCTGTTATATATTTTGAATTATTAACACCTTTTATATACTTCTGCACCTGTCTGGCGGTTTTCTTGTGTCTTCTTCTCTTTTCAAAGAGTGTAAACGACTGAGGCTCGCATACGTCACCGTTACTAGAACTGAGGCAGAATGAGTGACAAGCGATTTCAGTGGTAATTGGTAGTGAGTAGATAGGAGGACGTGCGTGGAGTATCATGAGGTGGTGCTATGGTCACGTTGCATTCTGCAAGAGTCATGATGTCAAGAGGAGGCCTTTATCTGGAGGCGCAGGTCGTCAGCGATGTGTGAGATTGTGCTGTGAGTATGCTTGTGGTGTGTTGGCTTTTCTGTTTGTTTTCCATTTCAGCTCTGTCCGTGTGACCCAGGTTCTCGCAATGGCATCCAAGTCAACGTGTATTGGTCGTGATGGGGAAAAGGGATGGATCGGTTTTTTGCCGGGGAGTGTCAATGTAGTTGAAGATTGAACGATCAATTCATGGTTGTTTGCTCAAATCCAACTTCCCCAATTTTCGCGGAGGCATCAATACGACCGTCATCGTTTCATCGGTCGCTGTTCAGAAGGAAGTCAGGAGACAACTGTCAGAAGTAATATTGTGATTCATTATTGTAATATTTGTTCACAGACCTTAGTTGTAACATTATTTATATGTTGGTGTTACAATAAAGAATCCTCGAGTCGCCAATTGGTGTTTTGGTTTTTTCGTCCGTTATTACTAAGCGTTTCTGAGAAACTTCAAGGAACAGCGTGAGCCCGAGCGTAGCAAGAGCTGGGCATTAACGGTTTACGAGACGTGGCTGAAAATAGGTATTCTTGATGTTGTGCTTAGCAGAAAAGCAGGTGGAATGTGGAGATGGAATGCTCTGATTACACGGTTTATTTGTGATAACTAGATGTTCACATGGTTGCTGCCCAGTAGTAAAAGGTGTGTCAGTCATGTCTCATAAACTGTCAATGTCCAGTTCTTACTACGCTGGACCTCACGCTGTCCCTCGAAGACTTTCAGAAACACTTTGTATTAACCAACGCGAAAACCAGAACACTGATTGGCGACTCAAGAATCCTTTATTCTTACACCAACATATAACCAACTATAAAGTTATTACACAAGGTTTCTGATAGTTTTTTATCTTCCTTTGAACAGCGAACAAAGAGACGATGACTGCCGGATCGATGATCTGCGAAAAATATGGAGAAGTTGGGTTTGAGCAAACAAGCATGAATTGATCGCTCAATATTCAACTACATTGACAAGGTGTTCGTTAGGTTTCACCTCAGTCAGCAGATAAGCAACCTCAGATGTACATTGAAACGTGCATGTGGTGAGCGAGAGATGGCTTCCTGATAGTGATTGCAGTGATCAAAATCACCACGGAATTTGATTATGCGACAACATTAGCGGAGGGTGATTGTGTATCGAAATGGAAATTAAGGCTGGGTTTTGTTTGCCTTATAGATGGTCGGTATTTACAGAATTTGGATTCAGGTTGTAGTAGCATCTAGCTAGTCTTTAGTCGACGATGACGTTTTGTTCCCAATACTTCTTGCAGATGGCCGATTAGGAGACCTGAGAATAAACCATTTTTGATAAGATTTTAAAGCCGAATATTTGCCAAACTGTATATTTCCCGTCTTTTTTGCACATAAGCCGACGATCTATAGGACAAGAAAATTCAGTACATATTCAGGTTGGGCGAAGTTCTAAGACAGGCTATTCTAATTTTGCTGTTTACAGGGGAGAATGAATTTGTAGAACCTGGGGGTTGCAGTGTTTCCCAACATTCAGCAAGTGATTCTGATAAGGAGTACTGATAGAGAGATTTGAAGCGAAAAGAATGAGTGAAGTAAACTCTTGTGGGAGATATGTTAGGCCGATTGAAAGCCACAATTGTTTTTTGGAAAATTTAATTGTCACATTTGGCTAATATTGCTCAGAATGTTGGCGATGTGTCTGACGAGTAACATAACGTAAAAATTATACAGTAAGTATACATAATCATTCGCATACTCGTTAAAGAGAATGTTAAAACTATGGATTGTACTTTCCATGACCTAGTAATAAGCCTGGAGCTAAAATATGTGAACGGAATTGGTTCGGCGTCACTATTCCCCTGGTTTCAGAGTGGAGCATACGGCCTCAGGATCAAATCTAAATTTTAGTCTCTCCTCTGCAATCTTTTTCCCCCGAATTCATATTTATCCGTAAGCCTTTAATTCTTACTCACTCTGCCTCCTCCACGTCAACCACAGACGCCCAACCCGTTATTTTAACTCCGGGTTTCACTCGAGGGCCTGGTATGAGGTATCACTTAGTGGTCTCCTTGGTGTCTACACAATCCATTTCTTTTCCCTTCTGCAAATTTTTTGGTTGGTTTATAGCCTTTCTGTCCACCAGTATGAAATGAAAGCGGATGTTGACAGGAGTCTGCAACAGCCTGTTAGAAATGCTTTTGGTGGCATACAAGCTTACTCTCTGACCCTTATATGCAGGCACTGACTTGAATTACTGAATTACTTGAATTACTTTTTCCTTGCAATGAATTTTGTTGATTTCCTCACTGATTATAGGTTAATAAAGTTACATCCTGCCTTCTAATCCTACCTTCAACATTCTTATCTGTCCCCCCGTGTTTTTAAAACGGTGCTACCTAGATAAGCAAAAGGGACTGGTGCTTGCTGTTTTCTTCTTTGCTGGTTAGGCACGTTCAATTTAGCTCCTATCTTCAGTTTAAAGCAGTAAAAACATGAGTAAGAAAAGGCTGTCATCAGTGACGTTTCTCATTATAGTGGATTATTCTGTTCGACTGTCTGTGGGGAGCGAAAATATAGGAACACGTTGGACTGATACGAAGATTTAAGAAGACATGGACTTTGAGGACCATTTATGTCAAATGTCACATAAATCCGAGGACTTTTTGGAGAAAACCAACAATTTGTCAGAAGAGGCGCGAGGCGAAGACAGGAGTGAACACTGAGGACTCAGGGATGATGGAGATAACCACCCAGAAACAGCTACGAGTGCCAGTGACTATTTACGGAAGAAATTTGAATGAGGTCACTTCCTTCAGTTATCTAGATAGCGTGGTTTCAACTGAAGACGGTTAGCATGAATGAGGATGCCAAAATCAGACCACTGAGCATTACCACTTACTAGGCTCTCTAGTGGAACCGGGATGGGAAACGACGGGTCTGGTGTCAAATGGTAACAAGGAGGAGAATTTGTGAGGAGATGAAGGCTTATGTGCAACTTTGAGACCAGCTGAAGAGGACTACAGAGAGAACGGCCAAATATAGATTAGTTGTTGAAGCCATGCGTTCCTAGGGCTACGCTCCAATGGAGCTCTAAGAACTCACGGGAACAATAATAATACAGTCAGTACCTTGAAACAACTTGAGCATTTAGAGTCTGTTTTAGTGATATCGATGTTTTCGATTAATTCGGTAGCATTCTGGTGTGGAAAATACGCATTTCTCCTTGATTTTATCTAACTCCAACATAATCATTAGGCTTTTAAGCAACTTCCTTATAATTCCTAATAACAACTCAAAATGGAAACTTAATTCTGGGGTTCATCGTTAAACTAATGAGCACATATAAAATTGGGATGCCAACTTATCACTGGAAACCAACTGAACCAGAGGAAAACAGTTCCAGTTTTAGAAAAAACATATACACTCACTGAACGCATTTCTTGAAAACATTCCTGTATTACTAATCGGAAATTCATCAGCGGCATCAGAAAACAGCTTTTTTATTTACGCGCAAAATTCAAGTTTCGCGGTGGTTGGTGGCTATGAAGTCAACTGACAGCTTGTCGGAATACGGGAAGTCTTATACGTACTTAGACAGCGCTAGAGATGAGTATTATGATCGTCTAAAGTTCAGAATACAAAAGCGAAACTCAGAATACTCACACCAACCATTTTTGTGGGAGGACTTAGAAAATCTTCATCTACGGGAACCTGAGGTGTCACATCTTGGGAATATTTCATGCGATGCAACTGAAAACAGTGGAGACGATGATATTGCGGTGGATGGGTAATGTCGCATTTGCGCTTATGGGTACATAAACTTCTTCAGCCCTGTCAATCTTCCTGATGACATAGTGACAGACGAAGGTTTGAATGAGTTTTCTGACATCACAACTTCGTTGTCTAGGTGATGGACAGGAAGTAGATGAAGGCAGTCTTAACCAAAATAAGAAAGAAGTTGGCATTCAAACTCAGAGATTGTGTCTCCAGAAGACGATTGAACAACCCAAGGCTTTCGTACCTTATGCAATTGGGGGTTCACCTGCTCCGACGTCTGGTGTTAAGAGGACATTTAACGTTAAGTCCGAAAGAGACGTAAGCGATCGTTTAAGTTTATTCAATGGAATTTTTTAGTGAATATAGTTTAAATTAGCATTATAACTAGGTTGTTATTCCTTCAATATGCAGGTACAAGAGTGGTGGGTTTGTAGTACATTCCAGTCATCGTGCATGTAATGTAGAAGCGGCTTGAAGCTGTTAAGCAGTGCAATCAATAGAGTCTCAAAGTAAATCGACTGCATGTCCCTACATCTTCCTTTCTGCTGCCAAGTATTAAAAGAGTAGTTCATCCCAAGTACTAGTTTTCAGCGTCATATTTTGTTTGCCATTGGACTTTTATGCGTACACGTCACTAAAACAACCACACTGGTAAATTCGTTGTTGTTCGCCTGAAAAGTGCTGTTTATTTTCCATAAGGGAGTTCACAGTATAATCACTACCTGCCGATCCTTTGATTAATATATTGTAGTTTCTAATTGCATACATTTATAAGCGGCCAGTATTCCTGTGCAGCTTTACATTCCCAGTACTTCCCCTGGTGTCTAATGGTTTTTGTCTACATAGTGAGCACTATTAAAGCTAGTTAGGTGTTAGTAAATTGTACTCAATGAATATACTGCTAAGTGCACATTCCTTAGGAATATCTGCGAATCCTTGAATTTGCTTTACAAGAAACCATTTTTACCAATAAGACGTAGTGTTTCTAGGTTTGAACTGTAAATTTCGACTTTTTAGATACTCTTCCATAATGATATCTAAATGGACTGAAAAATGGATTACTTTTATGTTCTAGAAATATAGAACACAGCAAGAATTCTTTTCATCGCACAGTTTTATATAGTTAAGGTACGGATAAACAAACTAAAGCAGAATTGTGGAAGCACATCACCGCCAGTTATTGTGCTTCACAACAGTGGATAAAGTCAGAAAAGTAAGTGGAATCATTCAATGAAATTAGTGATGATCCTCAGAATTTTCAAAATAATAAAGTACTAATGTACTGCGTCAATGAAAATTTTGCTAGGACATGTAACCATTGTCCTCGAACGTTAAATTTCAGTATTATAAGGATCTTATACAAACAGCATAAATGTATCTACTATGCTGAGGTAAATGGTTACAGAATTTGTGAATTGGTTCCATAATCTGCTGTGACCTTTACAACCTTATTTCGTTATAATCTTTCAGCTGTTCTGGGAATGACATGGTTCGTTAGGTAAGTTATCTGGGGCGCTATACCCTCACCATTCTGTGCAAAATATTTTCAAATTGTCTAAAAAATAAATAAGTAAAACCTTTGGAGAAATTTGTGGTTGCTAACCATATTACTGCAGGTGAGAACTGGGATTGCACTCGGCATTGCACTGTTACATCCAGCATTAATTCATTGTAACTGTTGAGCATATATACCATTGTAAATCGATATTGACACTAAATATTGAAAGCACTTCAACAGGAAGTTGCGGAGAAAACTTCTGCATTCCTCCGCAAATAGACTGCCTAACTGACAGCCATAGTACTCACTAGTCCTGTAATAAATGTGTGTAAATCGTTTTGGTAAGATGTCCCGCAACCATATTACTGATGTTGATTGATTTTGGGCTCTAAATTTGCACTTACTAGATAGTCGTATTTAACTTTCACTTGATTCCAATCGATTCCATTGTTTTCATAGGTTTATCCCTCTGCTGTTCGAGCTGGAATTCGTCGTAGAGAAAGGCTGATGGGTTTGGATCAGTTTAATTCATCAAACTCCAAAATGTCTTCTGAAGTTGTTGCACCAAAATCACGTCTTTCGAAAAATAAAACCAGCCCTCAGTGCAAAACTGACAAGAAATATGTGCGTGTTCCGCGAAAATCAGCTGTAGGGACCGTCAGTACATCCCGATTATCTGGTTCGGCTGCTTCGTATTCTGATCTGAGTAATAACGGTCCACAACGTGAGAATACATGGAGTTCTGAGTACATTCAAAGATATCCATTATATCCATCTTCAGTGTATGTCCGTAGTGCATCTGTCGCTGCAGGTCGTTGTCGTCCACTTTCTTTTTCACACAAACGACCATCATCTTCCTTCCAAGAAAGTTTGGTTCCATCTACACCAGTACTGTTAAGTTGTCGTGGTTCTAACCCTGCTCCTAAAAGTAGTCGGGCAACTCGCTGTGATATTTGCTCATTTATAGATCCCAGTGGGAAATGTGCAGGTCCGTTGCTTCGCGCACATTAAAAATTAGTAAATCACATCGCTGGCTTGTTTACAGCAACGATTTTTATCTAAAAAAGTATATACTATGTTTCTTTCACCCATTCCAGTTTACTTTTACGGACACATGATTTTTTCCTCATCCACTAAATAATTTTAGTTTTTTCAACTATGCACCAGACAATCTAAGCGGTGATGTCAATAATAA